AATTGGACGAGTTTTCATTTCTAGATGAAGTGAAAAATACAGCCAGCCATGGGAGGAAAGACTCATGGGGGAATATTCCACATCTTCACATATACAGAACTTCAAAGATGCAATAAAATCCTTGCTTAAGGATTCCTAAAAGGCTTTGCCATGTTCTGATGAATCAATGAGGTAAGTCAATATTTGAAACTCCAGTCGTCTCTGGGATGCACACAGGGGGGATACAAAGCAAAGTAAAAGTAGTTCTAAGAGATTATAGTGCTGGCCAGGAGCAGCCCTTCATTTTCACTAGGCATCACTAAGACGTGAACCTGCTTTAAATGAACAGTGGGGGGATCTAAGTCTAATCTTGTGAGTATTTATTTTGGGCGACTGCTAACTGTGTCATATTAAAGGAAAGGTTCCTGTTTATTCCGATCTTTCTATATTTACATGCTCATATGTGCATTTAAACAGTTTTTGGACTGCATATGGAATAATTCCTCCTGCCAAATGCACAGTCCTTTTTCTGTACCACAGTGCATCCCACCATTTAACCAAAGCTAATATGAGAGATCAGCAGTTGCAGTCACACAAATCATGAAGCTATCTTCCAAAATTATATGTTTTTAGTGCAAAATTTATTATTTTTATTTTTTTTCATATCACAATTACAGTGACTGAAATGATCACAGTCATCAGTATTATCACAGTGTTGTTAAAACGATACACAGTGAAATCATTTCAAATTTTATTTGGACAACCACAAATACAATTAGCAGCATTGTGCATTTTTTGTTTGCATGAACATCAAAATTATTGCCTATACCATATCCTCCTGAGCTCCTCGAACTTTTGTTTGGTATGCATTTTTAATTTCTCCTAGCAATTTGGGATCAGTAGGACCACATAACTACAAAAAAAACGAAACATAGTCAATGATAATTAAATCCCAATGTCCTCAAATGAGACGATAAGTATATCCCAATGTCCTCAAAAGGGACAACAAAAAAGTCCCAATGTCTTCAAACGAGTACTTTCTAATTAACAGCGTCTTACTGTTGCTAAAATTGGTCAAATCTATTGCCGTATCAAACCACAAACATTACTAATCATAAAGAAACAAGTTTCAACCATAAAATGTGATCAGGTTTTGGACCTTGTCCACTTTTGTGTCAGGGTCAGCTGCAGACTAGTCTGAGTGGGCGGAAGACACACAACCACCTCTGGTTGTGTAGCAGTTTTCAACCGTTTTCAACAAGTCCTTTACTAACTTTTGCGGTGTTTGATCTTGTGGGGATGTAGCCACTTTTCTGCCATGGTTAACATCCTGTAAGAGATATTTTTGTGGGCGTGTTACACCAAAACCTGTTTCCCCCCGACAATATTTTTGCAAGCGCACCGTTGCTGTGGCACCGCCCAGAACGATTGTGATTGATTGAACGAAATACAAGCAGCTGGGGCGTTATTTTCTCCAATCTTAAAGTGAGAGTCGGCCCAGCCAGACCTTTCTTTTCTTGAGAAAGGTCTGGTGAACGAGACTAGCTGCAGACTGACATGGCAGAGATGGCTGCCATTTTGTTTTTACATGGATTAGTGTATTGTGCTCTTACTACCACTAGATGGCACAGGAAAGTGTCCATGAACGAGGACAACAGGTCTACGTTAAGCAGAATTAAGTACAAGGTCAAGTAAACCTAAAATATGATGTCCTCTTATGAGGACACAGGGTCTCAGGACGACATGTAATCATTGGAAAACCATATCAAATGCAATAAAAGTGATTTGTTTTGCATTCCATCAGGACACAATGTTTTGGAAATGCTGCCCTGTTCATTCTGCAGACAAGTTTCCCTCAGTACTCTTAAATAAACCAAAATAAGCACTCTTACAAAAGACAAAATATGACCACACTTCAGATTTAGTCTTAGAAGGCTGGATGCTGATGCTTAACAGTATTTAAGTACAGTAATTAAACACAGTTTTAACGAGAAATAACATTTTAAAACGGTAACACTAACTGTCAGGAATTTTGCTGTGGTTTATCACAAAACTGGTAACCATCTCATCCCTATTTGTAACTGTGCCTCCCTACGGCTCAGCAAAGACACACTGTTTGAAGAAACAGTAACTAAAAAAAAAAGTGAATTTCACACTAAAATGAACAAAAGATAGATACCCACATGATCTGACCAGCTCAGACTGCTGAGGGCTTATTTTAGCTTCAAAACTTGAAAATCCATTTTTACATGGAGCAAAGCCTGAGAATTTTGTCCCTCATGTATTACATCACTTTAGGAATGGATGCCCTCACAACCAGTACGGGCTGGGCAGGAGAAACAATTACAGCGATCAATAACTTTTGTAAGGTTGTAGACATGTCGGTGTTGAATTAACATAGACTTATAAAATGTGGAGTTACCCTTTAATGCTTACAGTTTTCCAGTAAGACAAACTCATCATCTAGTGACTGGCTGTGTTAAGCCACTTTTGTTAGACACAATAAAAACTCTTTACAGCTTTGTTGAATACTCACTTGATTGGCCAACAAACACAGTCTGAGTTATTTCTGTAGCCAGACATCTAATCATATCACTCCACTTTCAACAAGTCCAAGAGATTTTGTTGATTCTTTCATTAAATTAAACACCTAGACCCTGTGCCAAAAATGCATTACGTCTCCGAAACTGTTGACACCCACTCAACTAACCATGGAAGATTTTTCCCATATTAATTCTGAATTGTTCTGAAAGCACAACACATTTGATTACTGGTTAGAGCCTTAGTGGCAATCTTCCTGGATTTGTTTACATTTCTGTTTCCAGTGCTCCTAAATTGTAGCCCTTCAATGCCAACTACAGATGTTTCTCTGATTTGCACTCCTGCCAATTATTTTTCGGCAGATGCTTGTAAATTCATCGATCTTCTCGTAAAATGTTTCGGAATCAATATTTTGCATCAAATGATTTACGTTTTTGGCAAGTTGTGTAGTGAGACGGAATATGTCCAGCAAGCTTCTTCTTAATAACCAGATCACTGCACACTGTCTCTTTAATATATTTTAATATATATCGCAGTGAGAACAGAAATTCCATCTCCCCTCTGTAGGTCTTACAGATAATGAGTGACTTTATAAGAATAAATGGAGCTTTCTTGGTTACACACCTTTGTGAGCATGCTCTACCAGCCAGGTTATGACTATGTCACAAAACCACTTCTATCAGATGGAGACTGTTGATCCAGCGCTGGAAGTGGCTTGCTGTGTGAAGGTTAGCTGTGTCTGTGTGGGGCTAACCGCATCCAGCCGTACCTTAACGCCTCCTCTTTGCTCCCTCGCTCTCTCTCTCTCTCATACTCACATATTCACACAAACACTATGTGTGTTTGTCAGTACACGCCCCTGCCTCGGGCCGTTCAAACCCTATGGGAGGAACGGGGGGAGAGCTGGTTAATTCCCGATGAACTCACTATGGGAATGACTTCCCCTTGGCCCCAGTGCTCTCCCACACAGCCGATGCCTACTGTTTAAAAAAAACCACTTCCAAGTCTGGATAAATAAACTACCTAGGAGTACCTATCTAACACCCGCATACTGTGCCTTCCTCTACCCAGTACTGCGCGTCTGCATACTAAAATGCTTATCAAGTCTTCCTCAGAACACAGAGGCTTTGGAGGTCTATCGTTATATTGCGCCATACTTGTCTTGCAAGCAGAGCATATGTAATGTAACCCCTTGCTGAATATTAATGCTAGGTTACTCTGTGTTACCAACTGTGAGTGTGAGCCTCAAGAGTGAGGCAAGGGCTGTGCAACACAATGCTTTTCAGAAACGATTTGCCCTCTGCTCCTTTGTTAAGCACTAATTTGCTGTGAATAAATAACCCTGAATGTGGTTTCTCCACCTCGTGATTGCAGGAGTGCATTTTGTGGCGGGGATCTATGGCGCAGCACAGAATGCAGACTTCAGTTGTATCCTTCAAGCTGTGTGTCTGAGATCAGAACTCTGTCAGGTTTGTGGCAGGATTTCCACTGATTTCGAAGACAGCCACTCGTCTGTATATTCAACACAATGCTTAAGTAGGACATAATATGTGATCCAGACTTGTGGTGTAGATCCTAATCCCACAGTGAGTCACAGTTCCCTGAGGAAAGCCTCATTAAACATCCACTGATGTGTATTGGATTTAGTGATAAGTGGTGCTAATTGCCATGTAGGCAAATTTAGGTGCCGGCGTGCTGTTGTGCTTTTGAAAAGAGACACGCATGCACAAAAAAAACACACACAGTGACAGTTACAAGCACACACACACACACACACACACACACACACACACACACACACGCACGCATGCTAATTATTTTAGGTCCCAGCTGTGAGGAGGGGCTGCTGATTTGGAGCAAGGCAACATGAAAGATTACTCATTCCTCAAGATACTGTGCTCATGCGACAAAGCCCTTATTCATCTTGTTCTCAGCTTCAGACTCTGACGTTCTGAAGAGAACTAGCATTTGACCCTGAACATTTTGTAAGGGAGGAAAATTAGGTCTCTCATTAAAAGCAAGATCAATGGCGAGATTTCTGCACTACTGCCAGTGCAATCTCAATTAGGGTAACAATTGAGGGGCCTTTTAAAATGAATGACTACATATTCAACCGCGAGATAGGGGCTGTCTCTCACAGATAGCAACCTGGCTTATTCTTCTTCCAACAGGATTCACTGTGGGGGAAAAAGAGATGGCTGCTATGCACAACTGAATGAATGTTGATTTGCTGCCTTGAGCTGAAAACAAGGTGAACCTTTCCTACCATTTGTAAAAAGAAAAAAAAAAAAAAAATTGGAGGGAAGCTTTGGGCGCTCTTTGCCATAAAATCTTTTACTTTTTCCATTTTGCTTTTAAGTGCCATCTGTTCTGTATGCCAAGGCGCCATCACACACACACAGACACAAAAAAAATCTATAAATAACAATTCATAAGCCCTATGCTAACAACATAAAAAAGTGCATGTTTGGGAGGCTTACCTGCCAGACACTCCACCAATGACAGCAGCAGTATAAGTTTCCATAGCAACTTCATTTTAATGGTCTCAGGTCAATACAAGCTCACATCAAATCACAGGTGTGTAGAATCCTGGCTTTGTCCTTTCCAACACTTTCACCGTTCTTCTGTCAAATGAAAGCAAAAGGAGGGGGAAGCCATTAGACACCATATAATAGTAGTGGACAGCAATTGATTCTGTTTACTATGCAAGGACTTTTTATAATATAAAATACAAGAGGATGGTAAAAAAAAAATCTTTTCTAATAACATTAAATCTTTGCAAACACTTCTCAGGTCAAGGTGACAGTTAATAGCAGCTCTGTTTTGAATTGCAGACGCTGTGATTGTCTGGGGGGTATAATGTGCGCTTATATCTGCGAGAACGATCGAGAAGTCGCTCTGTCTTCTGCAAACACAAAATAATTTGTCCAAGCGAAGCACTTACAAAACACTTGTGCTGTAGAGTTTGCTTAAGTGTGCTTAACATTGCATAATAGGGATCATGTCTGCGAGAGGAACATAAAGGGATTGCTTGTACTCAAACCTGCTGAGACAAAACAAAAAAGCAAGCTGGTTGTCAGACACTTTCCCTCGCATGTAATAAAGCACTGTCCTGGCTCCTCGGATTCGTCTGAGCTAGAGGGATTATGTATTTCTGACATAAAGAGATGACTGCACGCAGGGCAAAACCATTTTCCGTCCCCCGGGAGACTCACACAATTGATTTTCTCAAGGACTAAACCGTAATTTATCCCCAGCTAAGACTCAAATGAAGTCCCCAAAAAAAAGTTGTGAACTGATAATGAGACGTATTCCTCCTGTCACTGATAAAACAGTGATGTGTTTATTCGTCTAAATACTCTAACGCCCCCCGACATGCTGATGGCTGTGATCCCTTCTGATGAAGCGGCAGATAAATGTTTGCATATGATGAGCTGGTTATGGAGTAAGAAAAGATGAAGAGAGGAAATTAGCCATTGTCTTTGCTCAAACTGACTCTCCCTGGTACATTTAACTGACTGATGGCGCAGTTTCCTCTGACTGCACACCACCGGCATGCTGAAATTAATGAGAGGGAAAAAAATTAATAACAACATACAGTATAGTCTATCAAAAGGCGAGTGCCAAAAAAGGGAGAGACAACTGAAAGATTACACTTTCATAGTTTCCCAGTTATCTGCGTGCCTCTTATCTTTGCACCACTGAAAGGCATGACTGAGCATACTGATGCTTATGTGAATATATCAAGTGCGTCCCTGACACGTTCGCCTACACTTCTCTTCCTTCTGCGTGTACTAAACCATTAAAAGGCAACACTTTTCCCCAATAAATCTCATTATGGAGATTGGGTTTAGAGTGTCATCTTAGTTCCAACTTATCTTGCAGTTATTAGGATGCAAATGTCATGAGTAAATGTTGGCTTTTAATAATAAAACAGAGAGACTTCAAATCCCTTCTTGTGCTCCTGGATATTTTTGGAGTGCTCCTCCTTTGAGGGAATAATTGTGAAAGATGTGCTGAATAAATTACTCCGCACAATGTCTTTAAACGAAAAAAGAGGAGCCTAGAAATTCAGCAAAACTGTTTTTTTATTCCGGCTCCACATATGGACCATGTTATTTAAATGTTTTGTTAACGTCTAACATTCCTATCAAAACTAAATTAGACACATTTTCAAGTTTTCATTTGACTAACAAAGTAAACACAGGCCGTTGATTGAGCTGTTGCTGCAATGTGACATTTTTCAAAAACTGCTCAAGCTATTGTTTTGTCAGTCATGTAAATGTTTGACACTCTAGTCATCTAAAATGAATTGAGTCCGCTTTGACAGCGCCACAAGTGTACATGGCCAGACCATGTGAACCATTGAGACACCCCATTCATGAAAGCAGGTATCTGATGGCCTCTAATAGCAATCTCTTGATCTTTATTACTCAGCAAATCCTCAGACACCAGACATCACACAGCAGGTTAGTGGGGGTGGGGGGGTGGGGGGTGGGGGGGCAGAGGGGGGCAAGAGACAGCCTTTTGATCCAAAGAAGCTCAGCACTGACATGATGGCTGAGGGAGTCAGGGAGTGTCCGCGGCAGTATTTGACTTCCTCTTCAGCACAAATTAATTACCCTTGTGACCTTAAGTGGTAGTGACAAGGCCAATGACTTACTTTCATCCCAAATTGATTCTCTCATTTGTTTGCTGTATAAGATGAAAGTTAATGATAGGGAAGGCTTTCAAATTTCGCCTTTCAAGTTACGCCCCTCTTTCATGTCGCTGGAAAAAGCCAGTAGTTGAAAAATGGAATATGATCAAGGCTGGAATGACAGTCCTGGCCTAAACATTTCCTGACCCAATTTGTACAGCTCAACTGCATTTAAATGTGACACACCGGCGATGAATTCAGCCTCTCGTTTCGCAACTGGAGAGTAATATATGACACACATTTATAAATTGTCTTCCTTTCACCACAACTCACCTTGTGATGGGCATGCTGCATACACCGTTATTCCTGTCAAGTAGGGCTGGGTCTCATTAGAAGAATTACAATACTTATCCATTACCAGTACCCTTAAAGTCATATCGATACAAATAAAGTACCTAAATTTTTGCCTTCCTGAACACAGTGCAGTTGTCAATCGGGAAGTTTTCTCAATGTTTGATGAGGTGCTTTATCATGTTACTCATCTTCCCAGTTTTTACTGAAATAATCCCTCCACATTTAATGCATTTATTTTTATCAGACGCCACAGGCCAGTATTATGCAGTGTTGTGCTAGTTACTGCGAAATAGTAACTAGTTACCGTTACTAGTTACTTCATTAAAAAGTACCTCAGTTAGTTAGTTAAACCAAAAAGTAATGCATTACTGAGAAAAGTAACGTTTTAGTTGGCCCGTAGCTACATCGCCTAAGTGACTGCGGATGGAGTTTAGCCAAGAGACTGTAAGATTACAACTTGACAAAACGGTATAAGAAACATGCAACTGTCTTCTACAGTGGAGTCACTCGCTGTCAGGCAGCTAAATGTTTTATAACTACGGTACTTGGATACAAATATGGAAAATGAGCTAAAGAGAACATTTGAAGAGCTACATGATGGTGTCAAGTCTGTCGCCCACCGCAGACATTGTCTGTCCTCAACAAAAGCTTTCTCTGGATAACAATGGATATCACGTCACTGGATATAACGTTACTGGGACTAAAAATCTACAGAAGCGCTACCGCTTAATGTAACGTTACAGCACTGTGGTGAGGCCAGCAGGTCGACAGTGACTTCAGAGATGGTGAAAGACGTGTTTCATTAAGATGCTCTGGTAAGAATTGTTCATATACCTCTATCTGACTTGACTATCTTTTATTGTTTAGGGCTAAAATGTTGGCCAAAAATAACGGAGTAAGGCACCGTTTGGTAACGGCAACTAAGTTACTGAATATAAAAACTAACAGCGTTACTGTAACATGTTACTAATAACGTGTTACTGCCCAACACTGGTAGTATGGCCACATCTCGGCTCGCTGAATGGCCAACTTCATCAAATACACCGCGCTCAACCTCACCACACCACAGACTGCATGGGTTGCAGTTGCTACAGTAGTGGGCCAATCATGTCAAGTTAAATCAAAGGACGCTTGCAGTGATTGGCTGCAAATACTAATTTTCCTCAAGATATGGGTACAAAAAGGATCAAATACAGGTATCACTTGACTGGAAAAGTTGCGATATGGCTATCAGGTACCAATACCCAGCCCTACTGTCACATGCTTCATATCCCTGCCTATGAAACTTGATATTTTAGCACAAGCACTTACATAAACATGTCGATTTCTGGGGGAAATATACATTAGAACTGCAAGATACGCAAAAAAATTATCATGCAATTATTTTGGCTAGATATTGTGATTGTAGTATGAAAATATTTTAAAAAATGTACCGTTGATTATGTCATTTTTGCTGGGGTCTGTAACACCAAGCATGTTCCCTTACATTTGGAATATGATTTCATCTCTGTAGCACCACACTGCTTCATCTATAATAATATGTTATGACACATTTTACATTAATCACAAGTTGCAGCTCCTGCAGTTTGGATACTGCACTTTGCCATACTGTGATTTCAATAACATTTCCATTAACTGTGCAGCCCTAATATAAATGGTCTCTGCCCAATTCAAAAGCTCAGACATAGATTTACTAAAAGTGTTCCAAACTGCCGGTGATTGATGTTTGAAAATCAAAACATTTTAATTGGAAGCGAGTCATGATGATGAGAAGAGACCTGCAAAATGTCAGGTGCAGCTGCAGAGATGTCATCTCTGACTTCATGATCCGTGGGTAAAATTTCCCTTAACAGTTGTGTAAAACGCCCAAATGTCACGTCCAACTTCATAATATCCCACATACCAGATGACGTCTGGTCTTATATGAAGACCTTGGTGTTAGCGCACATTTTTCTTTGAAGCTTAATCAACAATTTAGTTATTATCAAGTAGCCAAAATGCCAAGCGATCACTCATTCAGGCTGGGTAAATGTGAGGATTTGCTGCTTCGCTCAGCTTCATTTTATTGTAAATTGAACATTTTTGGGTTTTAGACTGTTGATCAGACAAAAAAGCAATAGGTTACCCAAACTTCAGGAAATTGTGATGTGTATTTCATCACTATTTTTTGATATCTTATACTCAACAATTTCTTGATGATCAGTTCCTTGTAGCATGCACTGTACACCCGAAAGGCCAGTCAGAGTTCATTCCCCAGTCTAATAGGACTTTATTTAATTACAGAGAATCAATGCCATGTATTGGTAAAGCAGAAAGCTTGGATATAAAACTGAACGCTATTTGACTTTTGAGGAAATTCAGCTGCTTTGAGAGAAGCCTCAGATCTGCGGAGACAAAGCGCTCCTCCAAATTTCAGTGTTGTCAAAGTGACACCTCTTTTCCTCTTCTTCTCTGACAGCACCAGCTGGAGTTGATAAACCACAGATTGTAGTTCAGTCAGCCATAGACGCTGACAGTGATGTCAGTTGATTCGACCCTCTCCACTACACCCGATCTCTCTGCTGCCATCAATTTTTCAGGGCTCAAAAATGTATTAATAGAGGGGTACTCCATGTCCCTTTGGCTGAAGAGTCCAGATGAAGATAAAAACTCACGCTAAAATGCATGAGCACCCCACACACACTTGCGCACGCCCACACCCCCCAAAGCTCTGAATCATGAATGAGACCAGACTCTCACACTCTGCAGGAACGAGACAAGACCAGGAAAAATGGCATACAATGCTGCATCTTTAATCACCTGAGCTGTGACTTCACTTAATCTGCAGACACCAGCTCGATCAGTGTTTTCCTGCATGTGAGGCTCATCTCACGGCTCTGAGTGCCTCCAGTCATTTAAAATTCATTTTCTGGTGGTGCTCCAGTTGAGACTCGTAGTAGTAGGGAACGTGAAATTCCTCCCTAATCCTGCACACTTTGATTCGCCGCACACATGAATCAAAGATTTACCGAGCAGCTCTGTGGAAGAGTGGCGGTGATAATGATATCAAGCCCTAATCAGATAATAGTATTTTACAGTTTGTTTTTTTCTTACTCTAAATATTCAATTATTGTATAAGACAGCAATGAAGATGTGTGTGACAATGGGACATATTTATATAGTGACAAATATAGCTAAACTGCTTCTCTTTGAAGGTTTGCAAATGTTTTTCTTTCTTGTCATCAAACTGGAACGTAGTCCTTGCTATGTGTAGGTGTCATATCTGTTGTACCCACAAAACATGTGTGATTTTAAAGTCTGCATGACATGGAAAATACATTTCCCAGTGTTAATCCTGTGTCCCTGAGTTAACTCATCATTTATCTCTTGTTTTATGCCAAATATAAGTAAAAATAATAGCAGTATCAGAGTATTTTGTATATTTTGTATATTATGTATATTCTCTTCTGTAAACCCGGACAAACGCTTTCAAATGTTTGATGACTCATCCTGCACACAGGGGCGTTTACAAAAGTTCATCCAGTCAAATCAGACTTTCGCTGACTAGCTAGCCACATCATTCATATAACACTGTACTGCACAGTTTGTGGATGGCAGTAGCTAATATGGAGAGAGATGTGTGTTTGGATATCAGTGGGCACAACCTTTGCTGTCATTTCCAAACAATGGGGTGGACGTCTAACTCATTCATCTCTCCCTCATCCTCCCCGTGATCTAACGGAGAGGGAGGTGTGTGTGTGTGTGTGTGTGTGTGTGTGTGTGTGTGGAGTCAGCAGTGAACTCAGCCCGCCCACTCTTAAGCGGCCCAATCAAATGCAAAGGATTTGAAATTCAAATATTACTTCTCACTGGGAAATACGTCACAGCACAGAAGCTAAGGGCGCTCTAACCTCGTTTTCACAGGGACTTTAACAAGAAAAATAACGACAGTGCTTCCAAAGGTATTTTGAACATGCTTCCCTCGGCTTGTACTGGCTGTAAACATTGAACTCAGTGGTGCTTTCAAAGCTGCGCAGACATGAAAAAAGCCACAAAACAAACCTAAACTTTCCCTGTGCCAATCCTGCTCTTCAAGAATCTATGTGCATATAACCCAACGAGCTCCAAACTTTCTTGAAGCTCCTCTACGTGCCAACCCAATTTTTCATATTCACTCACAAATGGCACTCCACGGGAGTCAAGGAAGCGCCAACATATTCCCTAGCCAAGATTCTACCTCAAATAGTGGCACAAGACAAAGAGACTAATGGTGTTTTGATCTAAGCACACAAGCCGCAGGCATGACATAACACATGCCAGCTTCTTCATTTCTCCAGACCACAACAGGGGCGCTCCACGAAAGCGCTCATCCCATTCTCCCCTGTGACGACTGCAACTAAGAATGCTGAAAGGTTCTTCCTGCATGCACGCATGCTCTCAAGCCCAAGTTTTAACATAATGAGCACAGGGTATGGTAATAATTCACACAGCGTTATAGAGGCATGCATCACAATTCAGCAGAAAGTTTCTGAACACCCTTAAAGCATAATAGATTAAATGGCTCAACCACGAGCAGTGCACTCATTCTAAACACCCTAATACACGCAATACATGTAAGTGAATTGATAAATCTCTGTGACTTTTTACTTTATTGGAAATAAACTGGAGTGGCCTAGATTTTAATCACTCTAATTAAGCACCCGCAGCAAACATATTGTGTATTTGCCTCGCAATTAGTGACTGAAAGTGGTTGACAATTCCAGTGCACCTGCCTTTACTGGGGTACTAATTAAGAATCCCATTAGGATTTAAGAGCCTGCCAATTAATAGTTCCTTAAATACACAGATTTAGGTCTTTGGTGAAACACTTTGGTAGCACCCAGCAGTTATCACGGGGAAGCAATTTTAAGCCCACGACAAAGAAAGAGTAAGCTGTTATTACTGTGAGGAATGAAAGATCCTCTTACAGACAAGAAACTTTAAGTGTCTGCGAGCACTGAGGCTTACAAACTGGGAGAAAAGAATCTGGCAGATGGCACTGTATGGAAAACTATACAGCTAACTATACTGTATAGAGAAACATTTAAACTGCGCCTCAATGCAAAACTAGGGTCTGTGTTGACACCACACTGCATTTCAATCAAACCACAACTCGCAAATGCTGCTTTCAATTTCAAAAGTATAAACTCCACTAATAGCAAGTGAAAATGTTTTTCCGTTATTCATTACCTTACTTTCATGTTGTCTGAGCTGTCCCTGGAGACTTCCTGCTGTGATGTCCATCAGCACCACCGTCCAAATTTTAAAGATTTCCTGTGCATGCTTTCATTTCCCTCATTTTGTTATTTTATTATAACATATAAGATGTCACTGACTGGAAAACAGGAGGAGGAGGTTGGGAGGTGAACTCCATGGTACCCCGCTGAGCTGGTGAGCATGAGAAATGGAGAAAAACAACACATGTAGCAAAACACTGAGGTACTGCATTCTGATAAGGACAAATCCGAGCTGCTAGTTTTAAGCATTTTAAGGCAATAGGTGGTTTCAGCTTTGAGTTGCTGCTGTCCAACTTACAGATTGTACATTATTACTGTAAAGACTCTCAAAGATACATCGTGTAGAATTTAGTAGCTTCCTTTGAACCATACCTGTACTTTGCTTTGAAATAAAAATAAAGGTTGGCTTAGCTCTGCAGGTAAAATGCTGGGGGGTCGGCTACATTCCTTTATTTTTGAATGAACAGCGGAGACATAAAACAGATTTCTGAAGAAACCATGTGGATCATCCAACCTATGCTTGCCTGCTGTTGTGCTAAAATGCTGGAAAAATGAGAAACCCTCCTTGTACCTATCAGAATGCACATAATTTTGCCTGCATCAACCTTCGACAGTCTGTGTGCAGTTCCTCCACTTCTCATGCAGACCAGGCTCCGCTCAGTGGGGTACTATGAACTTCATGTCCCCCCCACCCCCTTCCTCCTCCTCTCTCTGAGCCAGTGACATCACCAGAAACGTGTCCAGCCATAAGCACACATCCCCAAGGAGATGTGTAGTAGCAGCTCTACTATCCCAACCGCTTGGATACTAAAAGGTAAGAGGAGTAACTGCGCTCCAAAGTAGTGTTTGTGTAGGGAATTAAACCACAGCTTTTTGGTTGGAACAGTTACGCCCAGGGCACATCCAGCTGGCATTATGTCAACATGAAACAAAAGAAAGTGCTCACAACACTGAGACTTCCCTGCAAACAAAGGGGAGGATGACACAAACATTTAGTAACAGAGGTGTTAATTGTCAAAAGGACCCCATCCTGAGCCACCATCTAATGTACTTAATGACAGAATCATGATGTGCAGGGCAGCTCCTCTCAGACATATGGACACCTGATTTCATGAGGATAGCCATTTCCACCAGAGTCACACGCCAAAGGACTTTAGACAATCTGAGCAGCAATCAGGCTCGGAGCTGGGTGCAATCAAAGAAAGGCTGAGATGATGAGACTGGACTGAGTCCAATCCCCTGTTGATGGCTGACGACAAATGAGTTCTGCTAGGAGGTTATAAATGAGGAAGAATTAATAGGTGCATTTGTGCCCCTCTTACAGAAAAAATGCATGCTATCAATGATACCCCTGGCAATTAGAGGGCACAGGAAATGTTATTATCTCAAAGGGGCTGTGTGGAAATTGTCATCTGGGACCTGGTGTCTCAAATGTGTTAGTTTTCAAATTGACACATGGCTATAAAAGGCATGGATGCGAATGTATGCCTTGGCATGTGCAATTACACACTGGACATGTTGTTATTATGTGTGTGCCGCCTACTATTGACTGAGAGAGATACAAAATAAGCAGTCTGAAACCCCAAAAACATGCCGGCATGTTTGCTGGTTTTTCGGTGAATGTCTACTATAACACATTTCCCACTATTTTCCTGTGATTATCTGCGATGCCAGAAGTGGAAGTTTGTGTAGACTGAGCAGCCTGATGATCGCACACACCGAAAATAAGCAATAAAACGTTGGCAATGTTGACAATTAGAATTTACGCACAATATAGAGGAAAGCAAATAGTTGTATTTATTTACCTGAGTGTGTCCCCTGTGGTGTTTTCGGCTGTTTATCCCTTCTCGGATATCCATGTTACACCGCGCATCTCCTCACTCCCTGAGCTCCAACAGCTCCCAGCATCGAGTCGACGGCGACAGTGAAGTTGGTCTCTTCAAAGTGCGGATGTTGCTCTCGTAGAAACGGCCCCAAAACTCTCCTCTCGCCTCTTCGGAGAGGCAGGCTACCCTTTCACTCTTCCCCACCCTTAAGTGCCCTCGGTGTGCTCAGAGTCCGAGTGGTTGCTCGCAGCCCGGTCCTCCGCTCTCCACACTCCGGTCCCCGGCACATTCATTTAGGGCACCCCGGCAGTCCTGCTCGCGCCGCCGCCAGGCTCCTCCGAACTAAACCCGCAGCCGTGGCTTCCAGCAAGGAGCTCTGCGGTGTGGAGGTTTCTAAATATGGCTGTGTGATTTCATTTGAGGAGCAGAGAGAGTTTAACGGTGTGGCTGACGGCGGTGTTCAGTGTAGGCGTCCGGCTGGTCCACAGGATGAGGACTGGAGTTGCCTGCGCGCGCGGCGGCAGTGGCACATGGGGCATCAGAGGTGGGTATACAGTAGGTGTGCGTGTGGTTTTTCTTTTTTTGTCCACGCTGCAGGTTCACAGCTCTCCACGATGTCCCATCCCCAACATGACACGAAGACTCACGAGCCTTTGAATGTAGGAGAAATATTTGGTTGCTGTTGATGTTTGTTGGTTTATTTGTTTGTTTTGTGTGGGATCTTTGTTGTTTTTTGTTCTTTTTTTTACCCTTCTGGACAGTCAGGAATTAAAATGTGAAAATGTTAAGATGCTTTTACATAGAGTAGCAATACCACAGTGTGAACAGAGTAAAATACTCTCTTTAAAAAATGTTGAGTTAAAAGTGTAAATACTGTAAAAAATGTAAAGTTAAAGATGCTATTATGCAGATAGGACCCTTTAAGTGTATATCTGTGTATCCTCCTGAGACTCGAACTTTTGTTTGGTATACATTTTTACTGTCTCCTAGCTATTTGGGATCACTAGGACCCGATAAGTATAAAAAAACTACACATTGTCAACGATAATAAAGTCCCAATGTCCTTCAACAAGCTGAGGATAAAGTCCCACTGTCCTCAAACGAGTAGGCCTACTTCCTAATTTACAGTGTCTTAGCTTGTTACTGTAGCTAAAATTAGTCAAATTTGTTGCCATATCAAACTACAAACATTATTAATCATAAATAAACAAGTTCCAACTATTTATGATCAGATTTTGGACCTTGTCCACGTTTGTGTCAGGGTCAGCGGCAGACTGACTGAGCAGAGATGGCCGCCATCTTGTTTTTACATGGATTAGTGTATTGTGCTCTTACTACCACTAGATGGCACAAGAAAGTGTCCACGAAGGAGGACAACAGGTCTAAGTTAAGCAGAATAAAGCATAAGGTGCAGGAAACCAAAAATGTGATGTCCTCAAAGGAGGACGCAGGGTCTCAGGAGGATATGGACTGTTATTACTGATGCTGGATTTTAATGCTGTAGTTGGCAAAGCTAGTCTTACTATTTTACTGCTTGGTGGTGGGATCAATAATAAGGCACCACATATTGTATAGTGATTACATATTTTGTTTAAAAAATCCTTAAGTGCCTCCAAAGTCCACACACAGTGGTGTAGTGGAAGGTATACACAGGTATAAGGGCTACACCCACCTTTGTCTCTATACTTTTTACAGTGTTCCCTCCTATTGGAATATATAGGAGAGTATATCTACTTCCTTCTCAATAACCCACCCATCCACCTAGTTGTACACCCACCTTATCAGCTACCACTACATTGCTGACACACACACACACACACACACACACACACGCACACACAGGTGTTTTCACTTATGTTGCCTAATTAGAGCTCTGCTTCTCAGGACTGTGTGGGCCGGTGCAAACTGTGCTTGATTGACACCCTCCTCACCCCTCTGTTGCTTTTGTTGTACTGTACGTGATACTGTTCTTGTATTTGAGTTATATAATTAGTTCATGTGACATCATCTAATTCCATCTAACACACACCTGACAAGAGGACAAATTAGCCAGAGTAATTAAAAACACACGTGCAGGCTGCACAGTAACTGGTAACAGCTGTCAAACACATGTAGTGACATCAAAGTGTAAAGTTGTTTGTTGTGACAGGGAAATACTTCAGAAAAGTTTAGGTAGCCTACCTATAAATGTTTTTATTTTTTTTTTATTGGAAAGACTGCAGGTTTAAGTAGCTAAATCGCAGAGGTAGCAGCTGCCTTGGTCAACCCTTTCCACCAGAGATACTCAACTTGTTTTGCCAGGGGGCCGCATTTGCAAAATGACAGGTTGCTGGTTTCTAGGATTTAAGCCCCTGACCTCTGTCAGGCAGCCTGGGGGAACCTCCCTGGCACCTTTTCTTAACAAACAAGCTCTTTTTATGCACTCTGGCATCTTATTTACTTGAGAAGTACAGAATTAATTCCCAGTATGGATTAATTTAGTTTCAATGTGAAATAGAAAATAGTCTGCAGGCCAGCCAGCACCTTATTATAGGCCATATTTAGCTAGCGGGCCATAGACTGAGTGTCACTGCTTTACACTGTGTACTGTACTATTGTTGCAACAATAGAAACTAGGTACATTTGCTCAAGTACAATTTTGAGGTACTTGCACTTTATCCCTTTACTACACTACATTTATTTGACAGCTATAGAGACTTAAAATTTCGATCCTTCATGCAAAACACATGATCATCTTGAATGCTCTCTCCTTCTAAAATGTATGTAGTTGCATATTTAACTGACATATAAACTTTTTTTTTCCTACATGTAACTTTAGTTTGGTAAAAGAAGTTTTCAGCCGCTGTTGGTTGCCTCCTCCTGCTGCGTTGAGTCATACAAAAAATGTGATGATTATAGCATTCCACCTTAAATAACCTACCTTTGTAGCCGCAGTTGTAACTGTAGGAAAATTATTCACAGTTGCAGCAATTTTTCATGAGGTGTTAACTTTTTTTTCAACCCCCCCCCCCCCCCCCCCGTGTGTGTGTGTGTGTGTGTGTGTGTGTGTGTGTGGTATGGCGAATTAACACAAAATTAATACAAGAAATAAAGAAGCAGAGTAGTATCAGGAGCAACACATCTTTGTCAGTTGGTATGGGCATGATTATGTATTTGTTTCTATCATTTTGTAACTCTGTTCGACAAAACAGGACAGACTGCCAGCTCATGAAGTTTAAACAGTCAGAACTTGTTATATGCACTATGCCTCTGGCTCATAATCCACTCATAATGTTGAGTGGGATTTAAGAGAATCTACTTCTGTTTGAGCCAATGGGAGACTGATAATTACAGCAGAAATTACTGAATGCCCCGCTGAGCCTTGGAAAGGCAAAGGGAAAAAGAATATTTGGATTAACCTACTGAATGAACATTTAGTATTCCTTAGCCACCCATACACACAGCTAATAATGGCACATCAAAGCTCCAAGGAACACTTAATAGTATAGCCACCCTAAACACAAATATCTGCAACTGGGCTTGAATATTTCATGAATTCTTTAATGCTCAAGACTGGAGGGAAATTTTCTTATCGTTTATACTGTGATGAGGTCTTCCAAAGGAAAACTAACTGAATTTTACCTCATGCAGTTTTACTCATTTCCCTCTGCTCTCCACGGAGGCAGATACTGCATGCGGCCAGCTCTGTGTGACAATGAGCTTTTCATTGTTGTTCGGAAGATGTCATTTAAATACATGAATTACGTTTGTCTTGAGGCTGTAAATGAGATGCTGAAATGAGCAACTTGTCAACGCCACCAGGAGTCAGGAAGACAAGCGTTTTTCTCTGAGAGCAAAAAAAAGGCAGGTTACTCTCTGCAGAGGTGTTACACTGCCACACACTCCTTTAGACACATCCAAACCGGTGATCTTAAATAAAATATTGACTTTAATCGCAAACATTTTCCCTAGCTCATTCGTTTGTGTCATACTGTTATATGCAAAGCTCCTGTTACTCTCAAGTTAACCTAACTACAGATTTAGACTATTAAACTAAGATAACTCAGAGAAATATATGATTTGTTATCCTCTATTTATCTTTTAATTCTGTGACTCACTATTTGTTACTTCTCCATGGTAGCAGCAAAATCAACATGTATAATCTAAAATTACAACACTCCAATTCATGTTCTCTGAAGTGCAACACATCAAAACCTTGTTTTGACTTCTGAATTTAATACTTTTGCATTTTAGGTGAAACTGATTTAAATGGAACTTGTAAGAAGTGACTGAGGTGAAGGGGGACTTTGAACAGGACCTGTCCTGTGTATTAAAGCAAAGATTTTGGCACAGATGGTAACCTGGGTGTGCATCGACTGAGTTAGGGCAATCCTCCCTGCCCTTGTCTCTGCATGATGTCATTCACTTTTAATCAAATGAAGGGCAGTCAACAGCTCACTCGCCTGCTCAGCAATGCAGACAGCACACTGGAGCTTATCCGTAGGACAGGAGGACGTGGAGTGAAACCAGAGGCTGATGCCTGATGTGAGGATGCTTTCCTGACCTGCAAACCTGGACCAGGAATGACTGTGATGTTAAACTTTGTCAGCTGCAGTTGGCATCCACTATTTAAACTTTTATTTTGGCTTTTGTTTGGACATATTTTCTTGCCCATTTAATGCTGCTGATGACAGCTAAACCTTAGAGCCTGATAAAGGATTGCTATACAGACACGGAGTAAATAGGCGATTTTCATTTCTAATCTAGATTGTTTTGGTGTAAGTTGTGTTAGCAATATTGGCCTTCTCTCGAATATAATGGAACTAGATGGCACTCAGCTTGTGGTGCTCAAGATAAACAGCAATGTCTCTTTGCAGAACTCATGACCTGGTTACTCAAGATAATCCACAGACCTTGTTGTGAGCAGTTTCATGTAGGAACTATTTTCTTATAACCAAACTACACCCACCAACCAGATCATCGTGCAGAAGGAAACGGGAAACGTGCACCTACATATGGACAAAAGGCTCATGTTTGTGACAGGGCAAGATGTGAACATTAATGGTGTCCTCCTCAGCTGAGCTGTAATGTTAGCTAGCTCAGTGGTGCTAGGTGAGCTAGCAGTAGATGCACGTTTCCTTCTGCACAATGATACAGTTGGCAGGTGTAGTTCAGTAGACAGAAAATAGTTCCTACATGAAACTGCTCACAATAAGGTCTGTGGATCATCTTGAGTCTTGATTTCTGTAAAGTGAAATTGCTGTTGAGTTTTTGAAAGGTATTTTTTTTGGTGCTCTATGCACCACAAGCTGAGTGCCATCTAGTTTCATGTATTCCAGCGAAGGCAGACATCTCTACAGCCGATATCTCCAACTCTAGCAATCTAGATTAAGAAATGGCACTACAGAGCGGCATGATGATGCAATGGTTAGCACTGTCACCTCAGGGGGCCAAACCCCAGGGTGGGGGAAGCCTTTCATGCGGAGTCCACATGTTCTTCCCGTGTCAGTGTGGGTTTCCCTCCCGTTCATGAGTAGATGCACACTTCCTTCTGCGTGATGATATGATTGGTGGGTTTAGTTTGGTTATAAGAAAATAGTTCCTATCTGAAACTGCTCACAACAAGGTCTG